TTTGTGAAATTTGATAATTCTATCAAAGCAGGCCTACTGTTGTCAGCTTATTTGGCCCAACCCTTTCAATAGTTTAGTCTAGTTCCAGTTATTCCCTCACTCTATATATTCAACTGCATATAGCAGGTCTTGTTATCAACCCAACTGTTGCTCTTTAAGGTACTGCAATACTGCCCTACCTGCAACTGGGCATTGATCTTGTATTAGCTAAGTGATGGAGATGATTATTTTAAAGATTTTCTTGCTGTTCTTCTTGGCTGGTTGTGTCTCTTCTGCTAGTTTGTTTCCCTATGGGGTGAGTGCTGGTGACAGTGAACTCCCTCCTAATGATGATGGAAGCATAGGGCCACTCAACTTCACTTATGGATTCATATTCTATGAAACCACATACAATACCTTCTATGTAAGACACTTGACCATACTTTAGTTATAGTTATACTTGTATATCTGCAGGTTAACACTAATGGTGTTATATCATTCATAGCTCCAGTACATGCTTACAACCCTCAGCCATTCCCACTGGATGACTCTCCACTCATATCTCCATTCTGGGCTGATGTAGACATCAGATTACCTGATGGATACGTACCTGGTTCCCCCAGAGGTCACGTGTGGTACAGAGCTACCAGTGATATCTCTACTGTACTGAGTGTCAGAGAAGAAGTGATCCAATACTTCAGTAATGATCAGGACTTTGTACCTAATGAGATACTCATAGCTACTTGGGACAGTGTTGGATATTATGACAAGAACACTGACAAGGTTTGTACTCTATTGACTCTATTATTGTTAGCACTCCTTTAGACCAATACATTCCAGTGTGTACTAGCAACAAATGGAGCTACATCATATGCAATGTTCCTGTTCCCTGAAGGAGGTATCAACTGGTACTCTGGTGACGCCAGTGGAGGTACTGGAGGTATCAATGGTACTCCGGCTCAGGTGGGACTCAATAAAGGTGATGGGGTTACCTATCATGTACTGAATGTGTCTTCAACTCCTGATGTCATCAATGTGGAGGATTATACCAATATCACTGGAGCCCCTAATGGTTTTTATATTTGGAATGTGAATGAT